GTGGGGGGGAGAGGGGGGAGAACCAGTAGAATCCCTGTGCCGGACTAACTCATGCTTGGGGGGGAGGGAGGGGGAAACTGGGTGGGGTCAGTCCAACTCCCTGCAGGCACATTCATTCCTCCCCCCTGCTCCCCTTGCTGTGCCTCTGGCCAGCCCCACTTCCCCCAACCTCCTCCCGGGCAGCCAGTTCTCCCTCGCTTCTCGTCCCAATCTCCCTTGGCCAGCCCCGCTGCCTGTGTCCAGCCCTCCTTCCAGGGTCCGCTTCTCCACCCACATCTTCCCCGGCCAACTCCCTACCCCCAATCTCACACCCCCCGGCAGCCCTGCTTCCACCCGCGCCCCAATCTCCCCAGCCTGCCCCGATTCCCCTGTCCAGTGCTGCTTCTGGTGGCCAGCTCTCCCCTCCTCCTCACCCCAGAATCCCCTGGCAACTGCACCTTCCCTTAGCCCTGCACCCTCCTGGTGCCTCCCTTTTGCCTTCTTTTTCCCTAATACCCACCCCCTCACCAGTCTCTGCCCCATTCCCCTCCTGCCCCTCTGTGCCCTCACACACGATTTGCTCCATCCTGACCTTCCTCATGCCCACCCCTTCTTTGAAGCCTTTTCCCAACACCTCCCCCTCCAGCCCCCAGTGCCCTTCCCCTCTCCTCTCCCAGCACCACCCTGTCCCCTCTCTCACTGACACCTCCACTTTTGCCCTTTTCCTCATGGTCTGCACTTGCCCCCCTGGCATTTGCCTCTCTCTCCTGCACCCCTGTCCCTTAGTGCCTTTCCCTCCCAAGTCCCTCCTCTCCTCTCCTTGCCAATGCTGCATGAGCCAGTTCCCTACCTTCTCCTTCCACGTTGCGGGGCCGGAGTCCGCACTCAGGCCGTGGAGGCCAAACCCGGAGCCAGCCAGGCCCGGCAACGTGCCTCCCACGGGTTTCAAAACCCCGGGCCGTGACATCACATCCTGCCCGGGCGTCCTACCCGCCCACATGCAACGCTGCGCATGGGCGGCAGGTGGCGAGGAGGAGCTGCACACGGCAGGGACATCCGGGGCCAAGGGGCACGCACTGGGGGCAGGAGCAGGGGATCCGGGGGCTGCACCAGGCAGAGCAGGGGATAGACCCAGCGCAACATAGCGCTGGAGCAGGGCCCCGGCTCTGAACTTGCCGGCACTCCCGGGTGCAGGGGCGTGGGGCCTGATTCAACCGAATGGCCCAATTCGACCGGCATTTTACTGGGCCGTGGACCATAGTTTGGGAAACACTGCTCCAACCAATTCCTCTCTCTCTCCAAATCAAATGAATCGCCAGTTAGTGCTCAACTCCTCTGTGTCTGGCTTACTGAGAGCCTTGCTATCCTGTCTGCCCTCAATTTAACTAGTGCCTGCCCTCTCTCAAACTCCTTACTCTGTTGGGGAGAGTAGGTTTTTCAAGTTCTCTGTATCACTGAAAATACGGAATTGCAAGTTGCAATTTTTCACATTCAGCATCCCTATGTCATGACAGCTATAATTGTGTGTATCATTAATTTTGAAGCTTAACACATCAACAGATCTTGCATTTGGTTGAAGTATTTCTAGAACTCCTGAATATACAGGATATTACACTCAATTTTATATTCAATGTCTTTACTAAGTAACTCAGTATATCACATTGGACGCATCTGGTTCTGCATCTTAATGTGTTAAGCTGATAACATTTTTGGCATTCTGTTCATTCATTCCATTTATTACATGCATTACAATTAAGAATGAACATATCAATTGGAACAAAAATATAACCTTTCTGACTCCAACTTTATCTTAGGAATCAGTTCAAAATAGTCATAGTTTTTTGTCTGCACTTTCTGGCAGCACTGGAAGAGGTAATGAGTAACTATTAGACTGTTCATGAATTATTTCCAAAACTGAAAATATTAAGAATTGTGATGGGGACCTTTTTTAATTGAGTTTTTTTTTTTAAAGCTTGATTTCCAGAACACATTGCTTCTCATAAGTTTCTGACTTGCACCTGGACTTTAGGGTGCTGATCTAAGCCTCTAACTCCCAATCTTTTGATTATCTCCCTTTACTTTAATCAAAATGCTTCTTCATTAAGCTTCTTAATGTTATCTTACATACGTAGTAAGACTCTGAAATGAATTTATTTTTGATTTTCTGATTTCTCAGACTGTTTCAAAAGCTTTCTGATGAGGATGGGTAAGTTTGATAAAAATATGAAAATGATACCATACTATTTGTGTTATGCATCTTATAAAACTTTTCCAGTAATTTTATGCATGTATAATAACTAAAAACTCTTGCTCAAACCACTTTGTGCATGCTGCTTTGTACTTCTGTACAAGGGCAATTTTTCATAACTTACAGGAAACACAATAGCTATGCTTCTGATAGAAATTGATTGTTGCATATGTTGTAAATAAACTGCAGTGGCTGCTGTTGTCATGCTTTTTTGAAATCTTCTGTGAAATTTCACTTTTGCTTAAACTTACCATGTGTTTTCCCCATCATATTCAAATTTGGGTTTTTAGAGGTTTAGCAATTCTAGTGAAAAGCTACTAAATATTTCTTCTTTAATAGAGGGTATGGGCAAGAATACTGACATTGATGTGAATTTAAATAGCTATTTATTTTAGTAAGAAAGGATAGGAAAGTGTCTCAGTTGGCTACGGTCCACATATGTGGAATAAATCACCCAGAATGAGAGAGAAGAAAATTAAGAGCATCTTAAATTAATTTAGCACAGCATTTACTATTATTTTGGATATATTGCACAAAAATCCAACTTTAAAATGAGGGCATCTTAAAATAAAGACAGAGAGGCAAGTTAGGGGTAGCTTTTCCTTTCAGGGTTATTTAAGGATATAGTTTCTGCTAGAGAGGTTGGGCTTTCTGGATATTGTATAATTTATTGAATCTATTTATCCAACACAAGGTGACTGAATACTAAGTGTAAACTTACTCCAAGTTTCAATGCAGCAATACTCATTAAAGCACAATTTTGTCATTTGAGACTTGTTTTTTCACTTGGCTTACTGTTTGGGCGGAATAGTAGGAGAAAAGGAGTGCTTCACTGATTTTAGCCTGAATGCACTTGGCAGATTTGCATATGCATGAGTGTTTGGGTTTTGGGCATGCTTTACTAAGTTTCTCTAATTTTTCTCTTTTGAAATCTGTGCACTTTCTGACTGTGATCTTTAGAAATGAAATAACATCTGAGAAAGTTGTATGAAATGCATTTGTAGTAAGTGGTTAAATGAAAGTATCCCAGAGGGAGCTCTGCTACATAGTCAGAGGAGGGAGACTCTGAGGGTGTATCCTTTAGATAAGTTTTTATATTAAATTGATGACACACAACTTAACACAATTTTTTTAAATTGGTTTTAATCAAGTATATGTGTTTCAATTACTTATATTTTCTACCGTGCTCGAGAGAAAAGTGGTTGATAATTTACATTCCCTCAACCAATCTTGAACAAATTTCGACACAAGTTTATTGAAATACAAAAACATTTCTGTGCCTGACACAAGTGAATTATAAAAAGGGCAGGACAGAAAACTAAGCAAACAAATAGTTCCTGAGGTAGTAACCATGGTATTGTTGTGAGAACTGTCATGTTTCCCATTTTAAAATGATAAACAGGGACAATAACTGAGTGTTCTAGCTTTTACATTTTAATTTACTGAAATTAAATTTAGCCTCCTCTTAATCTCTAGTTCTATGTATCGCAAAACCACTACATACTTTTTTTTTATAGTTCACGTCTCCTTGAGGTAGGCTCAAGTTTGGGGGAGCAGATCAGGCCTGACTGACTTTGTCAAAAAATAGGTGAAACTTGCACAATACCTTTTTATGCTATAACTGGCTTAAGTGAATCCTCTCAATTCCTTCCTTTTCAGGAGCATTTAGTATGTTATTTTGTTCTAATGGCCATTCAGATGATCATTCTGTTGGTTTTTTCTTCAGTCGCTGTGCTCCCTGAGCTAGTTGTATGGGAGCACATCTCAGTCAATGAGCTGAAGCACTGTGATGGTTGGGGCGGGTCCTATGTCACTCCAAAGTTATATCGATGGCCAATCCAGAAGGAGCTTAAAACTCCAGAAGCATCAGGGAGAAGATTACAATGTTCTCTCTCTACCTTGAAGTCAGACTACAAGGAAACTTGATGGATTTGAGAACTTAGCCAGAGACCTTTGAACACAGATAGGGCTAAACAGAATAGAGGATATGAATACCTCACAAAGCAATAGGCCTTTGTTCTGAATGGGAGAAGTAATTTTTTTTAAGATGACTGTCCCTTTTAAATATGCTACATAGAACCATTCTGTTGCATCATAATTTAGAAAGATTAACACAGACACACTGTCTCTGCCCCTTAGTGCACCTACTGAGCACAAGATAGACAAAGAATGTAGGGGTAAGAAGAAAGGGCTGGGACTAAAACCAATCAATGTGAAACTTATTCTATAGCAAGTAGATCATATGTCCTGATATCTTTGACGCAGAGCAGGAGCAGATGAGGCAGTAGCACAGGAATGGAAGTCAGACATGGAAAGCAGGGTGAAAGAGACCAGTGTTGGGAGAAGGAGACAGTGAAGAGGGAGACAAGGAGATCTGATATCACTGAGTATCTTCTTCACACACCTAGGGTGTGTCTAGACTACATGCCTCTGGTGACAGAGGCATGTAGATTAGGCTACCTGGCATAGGGAAATGAAACGGTGATTTAAATAATTGCCACTTCATTTAAATTTAAATGGCTGCCGCGCTGTGCCGATCAGCTGTTTGTAGGCTTAGCGCGGTAGTCTGGACGCTCTGTGGTCGACACCAAGGGCATTTGTCAACCTCCCTGGTATGCCTCGTGGGATGAGGTTTACAGAGGAGGTCAACAAATGCCTTTGATGTTGACCGCGGAGCTAGAGAGAGTGATGGACAAGATCAAGGAAGAGGTAGAAGGGATATTGGTGCATGGGATGAGAATTAACAATTTGAGGTTCGCGGGTGATATAGTTATCGTGGAAGATGAAGCGAATTTAGCGAGAATGGTGCGTGTGCTAAATGAGGAAGGGAAGCGGTATGGACTGATTATGAATATTGATAAAATGAAGACTATGGTATTTGGAGATAAGGAAATAGGAAGGAAGATCAGTGTAGATGGGATCAAATTAGAGAATGTAGAGAAGTTCACATATTTGGGGAGCAACATGACACATGATGTAGACTGTAAAAGGGAAATAGCGACTAGAATAGGGAAAGCAAGAGCAAGTTTGAAGGTGATGAATAAAATCTGGAAAAGTAAAGCTATTAGCTTAGGAACAGTGCTGAGTGTCTTGAAAATGTGTGTATTTAGCGGCATGTTGCACAGATGTGAGACATGGGTGATAACGAAAGATTAGAATAGAAATTATAGAAAGATGCTGAGAATAGGATGGATGCAGAAGGTCACCAAGGAGGAACTATATAGCAAGATACAGCTGAAAGAGAACCTACTGCTGAAGGTTATATAATGGAAGTTACAGCTATTCGGGCATATCTGCAGAATGAACAACAAGCGAAAAGTTAAGACTTTGATATTCGGCATAATGGATGATCTGAATAGGAAAGGCAGACCCCATAGAGCAGTGGTCCTCAACGCGGTGCCCGCGGGCACCATGGCACCTACCAGGGCATTATGTGTGCCCACCAAGTAACCAGGGCCGGCCTGAGCCATTCTTGCACCCTGGGCGTGCAGCACATGTGTGGTGCCACCTCCGCCCCGAGCGCGCGGCACATGAGTGGTGCCACCCCCGGGCACGTGACGCATACATGGCCCCAAAAGGTTGGGGACCACTGCCATAGAGAATGGGTAGATGATATAGTAGATTGGTGCGGAGCTCATCTACAGAAACTAAGCCACTCTGCACTGGACAGAGAAAGATGGAAGAAAATAGTGAGGGAGGCATCGGACACCAACGGGCATCGAGCCCATGGTTGTTGGTGATGAGACAGTGAATGTGCTGGTAGAGAAGTGTTGCGTGGTGAGAGCAGACGATACAGTTATTTTAGGTGTTGGATGTTTCATTCAAGAAAACAGCCCGGGAGACTGAGGAGGAATTTGATAGAAGCCCAGGCAAAGGAGAACCAAAGGACAGACAAGCTTTCCTGGTAGTTACAATATTGTGGTCTTTTTAAAATCAGTTTTGATTGAGAGGTGGACAAACTTGGTAAGCATCTGGAGATGGTTGGGAAGGGGAGAAAAGAAAGTTGAAAATGATGCTAAGCTTGTGAGCTTGAAGAACAGAGAACAATAGATTTATGAACATGGAAGGAAGAAAGAGTGGGGAGTGAGAGTGGGATGATAAGGTGGGAAAATTTTTTCCCCAACAGGAGACTTTGAATTCATGGGGGGAGAGAGAAAATCTGAAGAGAAGGAGAACATTCAAGAGTAGCCAAGTGCAGTTTCAATGATCAGTGTAAAGCTACTGAGAGACTGTAGAAACAGATTCTCTCCTTCCCTATTCACCTTTGTTCAAGGATGGTGCATAATGGATACTAAAAAATGGCTAATCTGTTTTTCTGGCTCTGATGAAAAATGTACCATAGGCAGCTCAAGTTATAATAATATAAATCCCTTCCTCCCTTTTGAAACTCTTGCTTGCATGCATGATGGTGAAAACTAAATTAAGCAGAACAATGTATTTGGTCCTAGGAGCAAGTCTTTGAATGATGTCAGTGTAGATGAGACACTCCTGCTGCGCCAGATTCGTTATGATGAGCTACAGAAAATGAAGTCCAAAATACAAGAACAAGATCAGAAGTGGCAAGATGTGAGTGTTCCTTTATGCTCCTCATATATGCCTTGCTATGGCCCAGTTCTGTAATCCAGTGTCACTTTCCACTTGTACAAAGGGCACATTATGGGACAGGGTTGTAAATGACCAATTTCAAGTATTTGTAGATTATCTGGGTATGTGGAATTTAAATCCTTAATGTTCCTGCTTTATCTGTTTGTTTGATCAGCTGTTCAGTGTAAGATTTATCTGTATGATCACTTTTTGAAGAGTACAAAACTAAAAAAACTACTTCAGGCCTAATTACGTGTAAGACAATGAAAGATAAAGTGCTGTAATTAGCACACTGTCATTTTACCTATTTGCATCTGTTTTTTAAAGGTAATGGTTAACATAAATTTCTTAAAATACTAAATGCATTTCAGTGTAGTAATCTTATAAGTTACTTTTATAGGAAGAAGTTAAAAAAAGCTGCATATCAGATTAACAAAACAAAATCAAACATCTCTGTTACAGGGGGAGTGATATTGTGAAATCTAATGAGGCAAAACGTGTATTAAGTGCATTAATTTAGCACGTAAAGTCATATGCAGTGAAATTGTAAAGCCATTTGGATTGTTTTATATTCAAATGCTTAGACTTTTGGGAAAATATTCCATGGTTTACTTTCTTCCACTTTCTTTAGTCTCCTCCTCCCTCACCTTCTCCTCCCCCTGCCTTTCACAGCTGAAAAAAAAAAAAGACCTGGTTTAAATTCTACTATGAAAACTAATATCCCAGCTTTGAGACCAGCATTTTTATTCATCTAATTCATCCACAGGGCCTATAAAAACTTGAGACTTTTCCTTCAGACATTGGGATGTAATGATAGAAGTGAGAGTGGTGTTAATAAGCATTGGACACTGAGCAAGCTTTCACCATGTTTAGTTCACCTTGGTTCAAACTTTCAGCACTTCTACTTTGACTAGTTCTAGGGGGCAGACGCAGCTGACTGCCAAACTGCAGTGTGATTTTTTTTTTTTAAATTAATTTATTTATTAGAACACGAGCAAAACATAAAATGGGTTGAAACTTCACAATTTCCATTTAGGATTTAATACCGTATATACTTAAGTTGATACGTGAATCCATTCAGATATTGCTTTACTTTTCTGTTTGTTATGCAGACACCCATGTTTCAGTTGCATTTAAAGTTAACATCCAGTTGAGCATTGATGTTACCTTTTAAATAAATGAAAAGATAAGTGCTTTTGCTTTATGGTAGAAGTTTCCAGTTGTTACCATTATTTAACGATAGGCGGCAGGCCATCGTACCTGAAAAATATCAACACAGTCTGTCAGAAACATTTAGGTCAGAAACATTTGGGTCAGATTTTTACAGGAAGACACATGAGAATCTAGTGTTAGTGCAGACAAACAGGCTTTATAAAGCAAAATTAGGACACACTGTTTTCCAGTTGGAATGAGCAGTCTTAGCAATGCCAAGACTGTTTATTTGTTAAAAGGTCTCAGTAGTTTATTAAAAGGTCTCTAAAAGAAAAATCAGATTTCCATACATTAATCTGTTTTTTTTATTTTAGGATCTAGCAAAATGGAAAAATCGCAGAAAAAGTTTCACTTCGGATTTGCAAAAGAAAAAGGAAGAGAGAGAAGAAATTGAAAGAAGAGCCTCTGAGACTTCTGAAAGAAATAGCAAGTCACTGAGAGAAATGCAGCAGAACAGGTAATCACCTAATGGAGATATTGTATGTATTGCTTACCTTGGTGTGAATACATATGCTCAATCTTAAAGCATCCTTAACTAGCATTTTAATTGTGCTCATATATGAAATAGAACTAACTCAGCACACCTTTCTTGGAGAATATATTTTGATAAACCTACTCTTTACTGGCCTTTTGAATGGTCCATTTATATAATGGAGAAATCTAAACTACTGAAAGAAATATTTGTAAACTCTTTATATTGGAACTTAAAGCATTTTAGTAAAGTAAAATGTAGTTTAGGGTGAAACAAAGTACAAATATAGTTTGCTTTGAAATCAGTCTTTGTTCACTTCAACAGTATATTTTTAAACAGGCCAAAATAATTACCTATAGTGAATAATCTTGCTTATCTGTTTATTATGATTGTGCGGGGTTTTTTTCCTTTAATATTTCACTTACAATTCTTTTTAGCAATTTATAAGTAAATGTAGCCAGAGCTTTTGTTTGTTGAAAAACAGCAGGATTAAGATTTTTCTTGAACTTTTCCCCTTTGCTGCTGCTGCTATGTGAATCCTTCTGGTATTTGCAGAATGCAAATATTTTTAAGACTTCTCTTTAAATAGAAACTAAACCGAGAAACACCACCAGAGGTGATGCTTTTATAAATGCACTTACTTATCCATTGTAAGATCAATGGGATGTGTGTTTAAGTGTATATACATGCTACATACACTTACAAACCAAAGTTAAAGGATCCTTTTTCAATATAAATGCAGTATTTTGTGTTTCAGTTACATGTAATTTCCATTGTTTTTGTTTCTGGGATAGGAATGACATCTTGTTGGATAAGAAAACAGAGGTGTTTATAATTAATAGCAATATTGTCAAAACTTAACTGTCACTAAATAATGCTTTTGTTTCATTTCGCAATATAAGGAAATGTACCTAGCAAGGAACCAAGCCTCAGAGTGAGCACTTAGCAAATGCATAAATTGTGTTCTTTATATATTTGTATATCATTGTAATACAATAGCTAGATCCATAGAACTATAGAGTTTGGCTCACACTTTCCAAAGTCTTCCATCCTGCCAAATCTAGCTAGACATTCATCCTTTCCTTAACATCCAAAAAATAAAGTAAGATTATATGAATTATCCCCAAAAAATCGAAACCTAGCCTTCCAAGCATTTTTATGGGAACTTGTTGTATTGCTTTCTCAGGCAAAAGATCATTCTTGGCATTAGTAGTTTATAAATTGAGGAGATCCTTAGACATTTTAATATCTGAACATTTTTCATGTGAGGTTTTTGTTTAGAGGTGGATTCATTTTCATTTTAACAGGAAGACTGTCAGAGCTTGTTCAGAGTTTGCTTTGAACTTTTTGTAGCTGGAAAAACTTAGTCCATGTATTCTCTGGTCAAACCTTTAATTTGTTGAGCTCTCTGTCTCCTTAGAGAGAACCAGTATCAAGGATCCTATAGTGTCATGCAGCAAAAAAGTGAACGCAGGTGGATGTCTTCATCAGATGATGTATTTAGTGAAGAAAAAACACCTTCCAGACCATCAGAAGCAAAAGATTACCTTGTCGAAAAAGATGCCCCTTACAGCTTTAAGAAGACTGAAAAATCATATGCACAAACTAACAAAGAGAATTCTGAAAAGCCAGAGAGAGATGCAACAGTTGAAACTCAAATTCCATCTAAAAGCCTATTAGAAGAACAGAGCTCAGTCCCTTTGTCTACTTACCATTCAATGAATGCACAAATGGGGTTAGCTCGGGTTTCAGCTTCTCTCCCCAGAAATTACCAGAAAACTGATACCGCTAGGTTGACATCTGTGGTTACACCAAGACCTTTTGGTGTCCATTCAAGAGGAATCTCATCACTTCCCAGATCATTTACGGTAAAACTTCTTCTATTTCTTAATATTTGTGAATATTACTGTCTTGAATAATTAACTCAATCCCTGTTTTGACTTTTTTTATGCATTTGGTTTTAAATTACCTGCCCTGTTTAACAAAGGGATGTATTGCTAATGGAGCAGATATTCTTAAACAATGCTTAAACAATTATTGATATTTATGTACTTAAAATAATCATCTGTTTCCTTTGAACAGACATCTGATAAGTATATTGGTGTAATAATAATTTTTGTAAAATTTCATGTTTTCTTGCCTGAAAATTTATTGACATATATCATTACCTTGTCTTACATCAGCTAAAAGTATAATTATTCCAACATCAAAATCAATAGGGTGAAAACCATTTTATACCAGCTGATCTGCCCTGTAGAATATTGTTAGTGAAACTTAATGCGGGCAATCAAAATAGCTGCATAAATTTTTGTCTTCTCCACCATTCTCTAGTTGCCCTAAACTTGAAACTAATATGTCTAAAAGCATGGTATTTTAATGCATTTCTTTTAAATCCAAACCTGAATTAATTATCCCGCTCACAGATATCTGAGAGGGGGGAAAACCCATCTGTCTGTTTTAATAATTCGGTAGCTAGATGTGGCAATGGGAAACTGCACTGAAAGAATGGATGGTGAAAAGAACACAACTTTTTTGGCTGCACTTTCTGGACTGTTTAACTTAGTTTGCTAATAATGAAATTTGGGGATTTTATGCTTTTAAAAAACTGGCTTGTACCTAAATATTTTTATTCCAGGTGGATGATGCCCAAAAGTACAATGGAGAAGTAGATAGATCTAAGAAATCTCAAACTTTGCTCACCAGCTATTCGTTTTCACAACTCGATGCAGAGCCACTTCTCTCTACAGATCCAAAAACAAGTGGTGGTGAAGAGGAAAAGGAAAGGATTAAAAGAACAGAGTCTCCTACATTGATAGCCTCTGCTACATCCCAATATCAAGATACAGTGCCCCATGGTCTTAAATCAGAGTATTACACTCCTCCTGACACTATTACAGTTTCTTCTTCTGCAGAAATAAAAAGCCTGCCAGAACCAGAGGTTTCAGTGTCACTGGTGAGTTTGGAAAGTATATAATTACCCACAGTAAAGTAGTACTAGAACAGTGTGAACAAAGATGATTAGAAACTCAGCCTAACATACTTCACGGAGAAAAGTAATTCAGAGAAACAAATCACACATTTCACCTAAGAGCTTTTATTTCCCAGGGAGCATGAAAAAAGAAATACTTTGTCTGTGTAATTCATTCTTTTAATTGCTATAATCTTTGTAAACTGCTTTTCTCTGTTTTTGAGTTTGACTTTCTCTGTTTCTTGTAAAAATTGAGCCAAGTTTTCAGCTTGGCATTAAGCATGTTTCCATTTTTATGCTACAATTATTTGCTGCCGCTATTGAGGTCACTAGGACAGCGAAGAATCTGATTTGTGAGTCGCACTAGAATTTATTCACACCCTCCAACTTAAGGTGGCAAAATGAATGCCCGCTTCTGAAAAATCTGACCTTTAAATGCTAAGCATCACTCCAGGTTTCACTTCTTATTGGAATGGTTTGAGGCAGGAGTCCTGTCCTCCTACCCCAATTATTTTGTTTGGTTTAGTCTAATGACTATAATTGCTAATTTTAAAAATAAATCACTTCCTCAATATTGTCCTACTTAATGGCTGTTTCCAACTTCTGTTCAGAAGTCCTGTGTTCTACTTTCAGAGCTCTGGGGCATGTAAGATGCTATAATCTTGCAACTGCTTACTACCATTTCCTGCCTCAGTGGCTCATTTTATACTTGAATAGTAATATTGTCAGCTGTCAGTAGCTTTTTGCAACAGTTGACAACATTACTAACTCCCAAGTCCGGGCTGGGGGCCACATTCTCTACTTTGTTTATGCTACTATAGACTACAATTATGTCAGTTGTTGGAAGGAAAATACGGGACCTTTTTGATGCAATCACTTCCTGCTCTATTTTTATTTTAAAATAGATTTTGTAAATATTACTGCAAACAATGTATATAAAAAACGACTTTGAAATGAGAGATGTTTCTGTTTACACAACAAACTGCTAGTACTGCTGCCTATGCTGTCATTCTACTTAATTTAATCGAAGATTCTGACAGCCTGATTGTTGTATGTGGGTGGAGATGGTTTCAGTGCATTACAGTAAAAGGAATTATATTAGTTGATTTTTGTGTGTGTGTGTGTGTGTGTGTGTGTGTGTGTGTGTGTGTGTGTGTGGCTCATGTGAGCTGAATGGAAGCTAAATGTTCTGGATCAGATTTCATTCTGTTCTCATATCAAAACTTAACCAAAGTCCCAGTGAGGCTTGGTATATCAGGCATGTGATAGTAAACTCTCCTACCTGGCAAATGAATCATTTAATGCTTTTATATACAGCATTTGTCAAACAAGCTATAGTTGGTGTGGGAACTCCTTTCTCACCAATTGTGATGTCCGGTTATGTGCTGGTAAAACAAGGTTGCACAACCAGATGAGCAATGGGTAGCTTTGTGTACACTGAATCATTTACGTGGCGTTTGTAGGGCATTGTAGGTATTGAGGAGGACCTGTCCAAATAGTGCAGTTCAGTGCATAGGCTCAGATTGCTATTCTGTAATTGAATGGTATCTATACACTACATTAGATACTACTGCTAATTAAGAGAATACACTATACACATGTATTTAAGCAATTATATAGCTAAACATACATTTATTCAGATTCTTAATTGTTGCTTTTTGTTATGCCAGAAAATGGTGAATGGTGCATTTTTATTTACCAAACTGATTTGCAGAGAAATTGTAATTCCATAAAAATGCATATCATCAGTTTTATTTAACTAATAAAAGACCATCTTAAATATGCTGGATATGTAAATGTTTTGCCTTATCAAAACATATTTTGCATTAAAACAATTGATTAATTAAACAAAGGAAGTAATATCAATAGTTTATTAAATCAAAGTGATTGTTTCTGAGCACCATGTCCTTCAATACTTTAGAAATAGTAGAGCTCTCACTCTCACTCTCACTCTCACACACATTCACACACAAAACTAGTTTTAATTCATGGATTAGAGAGGGAAAACAAACTTTCCTGCATTTTCATTTATCATTGAACTGAACTAGTTGAATAAACTGAATGAAGAAAATACTCTCTGCACCTGGAGGAGGGACTACTGCTGTCATGCTGGTTTGGTACTTCAGCAAACTGTTTCCAATGCTTAGCTAGTGACTTCTAGTTCAGCATTTGATTTTCTTTAAAACTTTGGCAGCAAATATTTACTGCTTAACACTTATTTTATTTTTTTTATAAATTACAGTAAGTTTTTAGACTTTAGTATATATTGTCATTTCAAATTTAACTAAAGACAATGTATTTAACTGTAAATAAAAACATCACTGCTTTTTATTCATTCTACATTCATGGAACATTCATGGAACCGTCAAAAGCTTACTTTAAATTTAGTACATTACCATGTATTCTCAGGATACTATGTTAACTTGAATATCATCTATTTGTATTTGAGATCTGTTGTACAGCAAGAAAACTAAAAATCCACTTAGATTATAAACTGGTAAATATCCTTATATTATTTAATAGCTGTATCTGGTACTATTTATCTCAGAAATATCTACCCTGGGCTAATATACTGTGAATGCCTGACTTGACTGGTCAAGAATATTGCCTGGTAAACATGAACAGATGTCCTGTTGGTGTACTGCACTGTGGACCCAGATTATTATAAACCCTTAGGTGCAACCAGCCATTGCCCTCAGACTTTTCCAGCCATATGGCAGCTTCTTCGTATAACACGCCTCTCCATTGTGTCATTTCATCCAGTCTTATTACTTAGAATATTTTCCTGGCTCCTCATTGCTCATTAAAATTTGAGGAAAGTTGCTACTCATAACAGTGTAATGTGCCCAGGAATTAGACAGATATTTGCACTATATTAGGCAAATAGTAGCCCACTCTGCTATAGCATAGGGTTTAACATTAACATACTCGTTTTGTAGACGTCTCCATTTCGATAATATTTTCAGCCACAAAAATAGTTAAATGAAGTGTTATGCCTTTCTCATTTTGGTAACATTGAACCATATTTCACTTTTATCATGTTAAATTTGTGTCAGCTTTTATATTGTATCTTAATGCACTAGAATGTTTCAGTATTATCAAAATGAAAAAACTGTTTTTATTTAGAAAAACTTAATGAATTTTCTAGCAGCACCTTAAAGACTAACAAAACAGGTATCATGACCTTCTGTGGGTACAACCCACTTCTTCAGATGGAGTATTAAAAGTCCAGTTGCAAAATATATAAGGGATGTGGGTGGCGAGAAGGAAGGGGGGAAAAATAGTGAATTAGAGTGTTCATGTTACATGAAGCTGATGAAGAAGGTGTACATTATTTTTATTTTTAGTTCTGAATTTAATTTGTCATAATTTTTGTTTCATGATAGTTCAAAATGTTATAATTTCCCAGGGAATGAAAATTGTAGTTTCTGAGCAGCTCTGGGGCTGGCGCATGAAGGAGCAAGGCTTACCCTGCCTCAGTATGCATAGTTATAGATGAAATTGAGTCCTTGTTATCCAGCTTTTTCAAATTCAAGTTAGAGTATGAGCCTTAGTCTCATGACGCAGTTAATTCCATAGGTGAATTTTTTCAAATCTCTTATAATGAATTTAATAACCTGGTCTTTTGAGGTACTAGCTGTCCATTTCACCTTTCATGGGCCATAACACTGTCTTCCTGCTCTGATATTCTAATTATTATTAAAACATTTTGCTCTAAGAAACATGCTATGACAGATTTAATATCTACACAGAGTTAAATGTGTACCAAAAAGTTTTTATAAAACCTTTAAAACATAATGATCTAAAAACCTAGTTAGCATGTTCTTCAAAGAAAATGGCTTTATAGTCAGTCAATAGATAATTAAAGTGTACATTGTGAGTAGCCTCTTGTTTAGTGGATAAACTTTCCTTCATGTAGATTGCCGGTGACACCAGATATTGCAGTGTCATGTTTTATTTTTCAGGACCAGTACAGTGAAATGAGAATCAGTATAAACCAGAGACCTGGTAACAGTCGCAGCTTTGGGTTCACAACAAATTGGAAACCTTCTGGGGTTTTTGTACAGACAGTTGAAGAAGGTAAACTAATATTTAACCCTTTTATGAACTTTGCTCTTACTGTTAATAGATTGAGACTGAGAGACACGGGTGTTTAATTTTAATAATGAATGAACATCTTCCAAAGAATTCAGATAGCAAGAAAGTGAAGAAAACAGTATTTGACTGCTAAAGGCTAAATATGCTATGATTCTTTTGTATCCTCATGCACTACAATTGGTTTAATTTAGAAATATTAGAAAATTTATTTTGAAGTAAAAAAGACTTGCATCCATAGCAGTGGGGTAAATTCTGATTTATTTATGGCATTATTTTATGGCCTCATAATGTCTGTTAAATACAGTTACCTACTTAGAGATGTCACACGGGCATGCGTATAAAATATAGAACGCACCACTCTTGTAGTATATTTTAAAAGGCTTCACTTCTTCTTAAAACCTGTAGAGATAAGTACATTGGAAAGGTATTTGAGCAGAGGGTTTTTTTTTTTTAATTTCGGGTTTATTTTTCTTCACTGTGTTAAAGATTGTAAAATATTATATTCTATGAGTAACTGTAGCTTTTTAAATATCTTCATGAACTATTTTTTCAAGTAAATTAATTGTGCAGAGTTTCATTTGATGTGGTAATAAGTACTCAGAAATGTTTTCATGTATTTACTAATATCGAGAATTCATAATTTTTTTTCCTATAGCAATAAATCTAACTTTAAAACTACAAGGAACTTGAGATGCTGATTAAAAAACAAATTTGTATTTTGTTGTATCGTATTGCTGGTTTTTATAAAACAACCCAAAAATTTTTCATCCAACTCCTCCCTTCCTCCAAAATTATAAACTACCAGTAATTGGGGAATACACTGATATTTTTCAGTAACATTCACTGCATATTAGTGTCTTTGGTTACAACTAAAATATTACCTTACAATAAGACAGGCTTTAAACAAGAGGAAAGAAAACACTACTGGAAGCTTCACGTTGGGCTGGCACTTGGTTGCATTTCTTTTCACAGGGAGAAAAATAATTGTGTAACAATCACCTGACATGTTTACTTTAAAATAAAAGCTTAGGCCATGTTTTAAACCACTCGTAATCATGGATTTCTCCTTTGAGGTAAAACCATATGTGGCTATATTAGACATAACACTAAGTCTAACGCAAGTTAAATCAATGTTTTCATTTAGAAAAGTCTTCTTAGATAATATGGAGTAAATAATTGTACTTACTGACATGTTGATACCATGACATCAGTATTCACTAATCATTCCATAGCAATTTTACCACCCTGATAATCTTGTTACATGTTGGCTCCGTTTATGTAACTGCATCAGTTTAAATTCAGCTTATCGTTATCAACAGGTATCCGAATGCCTGCCCTATCTTGTCAATAAGATCTGGGCTAGTGTGAAAGACAGTAAAAATTTGCAGTGAACAGGCTAGCTGCAATATTAAATGCAAATCTGAAAGTTTCTTGTTCCCATTCAACTTCCACAGGTCTATTTTATAATAGAAAACTGCAGAGTACTTCTGCACTAACCAAGATGCCCAGAATTACATTCCCTGGAGAGACCAGTGTACAATAGAAAGTTTCACAAAAGTTTACTGAAGTTTTTGGTGAGGCACTTTGTTTCTTGGGGAGAAAAACAAAAAACTGAACAGCCACTTTCTTCATCCTCACTATAGTAGAAGTACTATAGGAATATCCAGACATGAGGAATTTTTGTCTGATCTGTTAGGTAGCCCTGCAGACCTTTGCCAGCTACAAGTAGATGATGAAATCATTGCTGTTGATGGCACAAGGGCTTCACAAATGGACCATAATCAGTGGGAAGAAGCCATGGCCAATGCACTAGAAACTGGAAACCTGGTCATGGATGTCAGACGATATGGGAAAAATGGTGAGTTTTCACAGGGCAAGTACCCTGTTGCATAAAGTAAATAAGCTATATAGTTAGTGAAGTTTCTCTGATGGATTTGAAGCCTGTAGTCCTTGCTTTAACATCTTTTTGGAGCCCAAGTGCTTTGTTAGTGTGTCTGTTTTATAAGACAACTTGGGGGTTTCTTTTTTACGTGGTTTGTATCGCAAATAACTTCACTAGCAAGTTTGCTAACTATACTAGTGACCACTCTGTCATGTATTGGTTTAATTTTTGAGGAGTGCATAACTGTTTGTATGTGTTAGATACATAAAGACACCACCGAAAAGAACTGAAAATGCCCCTTATGTGCCACCTCACATTTAGGAGTGGAGGGTAGTTCTGTCATACCAGGGGGGATGTCTACTCATGGGATCCTTCCTACCATCTGCAAGAGGCAGCGATTCCTCTTTTTCCTAATAACACTCTACCCTGCATCTCTCTCAGAATAAAGAAAGTGTGTGAAATGCACCACAGAGCTTGCTGTTGTCCCTCTGAACTGTGATCAGCTATTCGGGGAAGGTTGTAAGCTGATTAGTTCACTCAGCCCATCCATTTGGCATTTAAAATTACCTTCTCATAGTAGCACCACTCTGGCCCTGCAGCATGCCCCCTACTTTCTGGATGGGTTGTGTAGCTGCCTTGCTGGGAATCTGGATCTGTTGTGGGCCTGCCCCTTTTATAGGATCAGGAAGGGACTTTCTTTCCCTGTAGAGCCCACAGGTTCATGTGTTAGAAAAGGTTATTAGTTTTAAAAAACAAACAAAATGGTTTGTCACAGCTTGTTTGGTTAACAGTGCATTTGGGCTAGATGGTAGTGGGGTCGGTGGTTGAGAGAAATCCAAGAAGCTTCTCACTGAGACCTTGACTGATTAGGGGGCCTTTAAGTTGTTTTAAGTCATTTATCGATTGAGGAGCTTCTTGTTTTTACACGCATCTCCTGCATGAAGAGAAGGTCACTTGCGAGTCAATCTCCTAAATTGAATTTCTGGTTGAGGACAATGTAGATACTAGCCAGGGGTAGCCACTCTCTTTACCGATTTTGCTGCTTTGGTTTAGATGGTCTTTTTGGCACTGGAGCCAAAATCTTTGCCCAGAAGTTAGAATGGGGACAATGCACCTTAATCTACATAGTAACCAGAAAGAAAGAGGCTACCACTGAAACTCAATACCTGTGTGGTCTAATCAATTGTAGTGTGGATGATAACATCCACCGATAAATTTGCAGGGGCAAATTTGACAGATTGTACTCCTGTAAATCTTGTAGATAATGCTTCAGGAGCAGAGTGTCCATTAAAATGCAGCTTACTGCACACTCCTCCCTATGGCTTTGATTATAGCTGAGAGAATGTTGTCCTTACCAAAGAAGCTCTTGTGGAAAAAATAACTTTCTATTGATATGAATATTTGTAATATTGATCTAAGGAACTTCATGTTTATATAATGAATTTTAGTACACTTGCTAGTGTTTTGCAAGCACATCTTTTGACTAACTCTTGCTTTTTGTGGGAAGGTGGTCTGTTTCTAAAAGCCCTAATGATTTCCTGCCTTTACAAATTCTACCTACTTCATCTTTCTGCCTCTTCATGTCTTTTTTTTTTTTAAATGAAAATGTGTTTTCACTAACTTTTTGTTCTTTATACTTTGACTTTTCTGTTCACATTCACTTCTTGATCTCCATGTGCCAATCAGATTGGGGCAAAGACCAACCTTCCCTGCCATATGTAAGGCATAAAGTCCTCAATCTTACCAGTATGGCTACCAACATTGTAGGTACACCTGAAAGCAAATGGATTGATGCGATTTCTGGAGATCACAATTCTACCAAGTCTTCAAACATATCGGCCAAAAGAGAGTTCTCCAATAGCCTTCAAAATTCGGTAAGAATTTTTTGGGTGAGAAAACAGGGAGTTGGTGTATTGGAAGGAGAAATGAAGGAAAAGCTGTAATGTCTCGGAGGAATAAGATGTAGCAATTCCAGGGAGTCAGTTTTTATTTTGCTTTCTAACTAGAATCTCCTTAAATACATTAATTCCTGTGACTCTTACTTTCATACGAAACTACTGTAACATTATGTGGATTTACAGAATGACATGGTGGCAATGTTTTGTTCTGGTAGCAATTAAGTTTTTAGGCAACTGATCTCTGCATAAATATATAAAATTGCATGATAAAATTATTTTAGCACTAATGTAGTTTCAGACATGGGGGCACATTCTTCTGAATGAGCAGCTCAGAGAAGTTATATTTCAGCCATGAATAGCCAGTGGATCCTTCCCCTTGTGGAGAGGAACTCCCCATTGAGCTAAACTTAGTGGTGGCAACCCTTATACTAGGTGGCACTTTCATCCCAAAATAGGGGTGAACTGAGGACTTCGCAGTTTGGAACTCAGCTTTTTTTAGTCTTCCACTGACGTAAAAGAGCAGTTTACTAGACTGCTCTTGATGTCTGCAGCAGACTGATACAGAATCATAGGGTTCCTTGATTCCCCTTTATCCTAATTGAGTCTAGGGGTTTAATTTTCCCTTGCATCTAGCATTTACTAATTTATTCTGAGTAACATCATACCATTTGGTCTTCCTAGCTGCATGATGATCCTTACTGAATGTAGGTTGGTGATTTTGGTCAATAGACAAGGAGGGAGGAGCAGTTAGGTTTTGTGGTCATATTGTTTGTGTACTGAAATGTTCTTAAGTTAAGTATATGTAGCAGTCACCTTTTCAATTTTGCTGGTTTTGCTGCAGAACAAGTCTACACTAGACGCAGAAGGATGTCTTAAGATATGCAACTCCAGCTATGTAAAATGCGTAGCTGGAGTCAGCTTACCTTGAGCCAAGCTTGGCACCATCTTTGTAGTAGGAGGCCAACATGAGCAAATGCTCATGTCAGCTTCCTTGAGGCCAGGTCTACACTATCGGGAAAGATTGAATTAAGATATGCAACTCAAGCTATTTTAATTACGTGGCTGGAGTCCTCGTACCTTAATTCAAGGTTCTGTGCCATCTTCATAGCAGGAGATCAACAAAAATAAATGTTCCTGTTGGCTTCAGTTGCTCAGGACTATGAGTGCTGATGGGGGTACCCTATGAGTTTGATTTAGCGGGTCTTTACTAGACCTGCTAAATCAAATGCCAGAAGATCAATCTCTGGTGTGGCAAGTGGAGACATGGTCTTAGATGAAGTTACTGTGGAGTTGGCAGTATTCCCTTCACTTACATAATGCAGGAAACAGATGGGATGCTGCTAATATTGAGATGATGTTGTTTAAGGATACCACCACATTTTGAGTGGCCGTTGTATGCCCATATGAGCATGAAAACAATTCCAAAAAATGCAGTGTGTTAAGTTTAATCATAACTTCTTATTATAATAAGCCTCAGAACATTAATTCTTTAGAAATGCTCAATACAGTGGATTTCCAATGACAGTTTAAATGAATGTGACCATTCCAAGAAACAGAAAATGCTCTTATTTTGAAACAAAATACTGGGATATCCATCTTGGCCCATGACATTTTCTGGAGAATTAATGATTTCCTTTCAGGCCATCAACTTACAGTTGGTTATAAATCCCAGCACATATGGTCTTTTTATTATATAAAATATATGCAAGAGATGTAAACAATTTTGGAAAATTGAGGAATTCATAACAACCTGACATGCTTTGCTGTGTAGAATTTCTGAGAGAGGAAATATAAAACTTAATTCACAGGAAAGTGTACTAATATTGTTTTCTATGTGTAGGATCCTGAAGGAAAAATGATAAATGGAATGCAAGCAGATCTGAGCTCTAATGAACAAAAAGGTAATTGCCAACATTTTCAGCTGCTAATTGAAAGGAGAAAACATGAGTTTACCTTTAAATATTGCTAACTTAATACAGTGAAATAAATGTCAAACCTTTGACAAAATGAAAGCTAAAGGGTATCTCATGGATCCAACTGCATTTAAGAGTCTGGTGTTCTAGGGAGCATTGAATAGTTTAAAAACTGCAAACAAAGCGCAGATAAGTGCCTAAATCTTAGCATGACTGGGTGTAGACTGACTATGGTAGGATAAGAAAGGAGAAACAAGAAGACACAGAAACTTAACTCCTCCTATCTATTCTGCAATGGTGGTTGAAACAGAAAGATTCCTTATGATCATCAGTCCGTCCTCTATTTTTAAGAATCTCAGTATGTGGGGGGAAGGGGTTTCCCCTTCCAACCTCCTTCCTGGAGCATTCAGATCTCTATTTTGCTCTAGCTCAAGTATGATAATTTTTTTAATATCTGCACTGTATATTGTTGGCTCTGTTCCATAACTTTTAGTGACCCCTTGTTAGTAAAAGTAACCTTGGGGGAAGGTAGGAGGAGGAAGTAAAGTAGGCACTTAAACCTCCTAATAGAATTCTAACTCCCTAATGGGAACTATTTATGCAATTACAGGGTATTGTAGTCATGGTGGGTTACAGGTGAGCTTTGTGAACAGGGAAATGTATAACCAAGCCAAAGCACCATTGTACTTGACTCAGTTAAATTGAGGCGAGTAGAGAAGAGAAGGTGCCAAGGAATCGGAATTTGTAAAATCTACTGGAGACTTTTAAAATGAGATGCGATCTTGGGTAAGAAAAATATTGCCACCCAATCTCCAGCCCCACACAAAGTGGGTCAATCATGCTGTTGTAATAGATGGATAGTAATTCTGCTAAAATGAAGTACAGGTTGAACCTCTAAAATCTGGGACTCTGGTCTGGCAACATCCATGGTCTGGCAGAACCACAGATATTGCTGAACCAGAGAGCCCCAGGTGCCCAGGTTCAGATGCTGGCAGTGGGGAGTGCATCCCCAGAGGCGCTGGTGTGGTGGGGTGCACAGCCCTGACCAGGGTTGACAGCAAAGCTCAACCCCAACTGGGGCTGCAGGCAGTGAGGTCAGCAGCTAGGAACGCAGTCCCACTTGGGGCTGCTGGTGCAGTGGGAGAAACAGCCTCAGGGTAGGGGAGTGGGGGCAGGGGCGAAGTCCCGGTCGGGGCTGGCTGTGGGGAGCGCAGCCCCAGCCAGGGCTGGAGGCAGCATGGTCAGCAGTCAGGAGAGCGCAGCCCCAGTCAGGACTGGAGTCAGCAGGGCTGCCAGCGAGGTGCACAACCTGGATTGATGCAATGGGGGACGCAGCCCCGGCTGGGGGGTAGTGGCAGCAGGGCCGTGGCACAGTGGCGAACACAGCCCCATTCAGGGCTGGCATGGTGGGGGGCTGGATTCAGTGGCAGGGAGTGCAGCCCCAGCCAGGAAGGGAGCCTTAACCCTCCCCTTGTTCCGCAAACTCCATGGTTCGGGACTACTCAGGTCCCAAGGGTGCCAGACAAGGAAGGTTCGACCTGTACTAACCTCTGTGTGGTTTAATCTACTAAAAACCTTGAATTTCTTGTAATAAAAGGTTAGATTTTTTTTCTGTCCTTCTGATAAATGTTATCCAGTGGTGATAGTCATTAAAAATACATAGACAGCACCGTATTGACTTCTTTGTATTCTTTGTATTTTTCAAATAGAATCTGAACCTATTTCTTTGAAAAACTTAAAAAGACGGTCACAATTTTTTGAACAAGGTAAAACAAAAAACTCACATTTCATGTACTGTCATGAAATTGTTCCCATTGTGCATTCTTCTTATTCTGGTGCTGGTCTCTGGTGCTGGGTACTAAGCCTCTTCAGTGTTTTGTTGCAAACATGGAAAAGCTACATAATCCATTTCCGTTCTTTCTTCAGGGTCATCAGATTGTTATTACAATTCATGGGTCTACCTTTGTGGTAATGGGTCTTTGTGTGTTCTTTTGTATATGTAAAACCTTTTAAACCTCTGAGACGCTGTTCAAAACACTTTTTTCCGCCGGTAAAAGATTTGTTTCAGGTTTGCAACTCCCTACAAAACAGCTTAAAACTAACCATTCCAGCACAATTTTAGTGCATAGGCCAATGAGCTGTTAAAATATTTAACAGTAAAATCAGTTGATTCACAGCTGCTGTTTTTCATTTGCATCCAAACTGATAAAATACAATACAGTGGTTGACCTGCCATTTTAAGGCATGTAACAATGACTTAAGTCCAAGAAAACACAATACAAATTTTGAAACAAATTAATTTTACATTATTATTTTGTGCTTTAAGGTATGTAAAAATGTCTGCTGCAGTTTTGTGGGGTTGCTTTTCTGATGTTTCGCATGTCACATCTATTTTCACTAATGTAAAATATCTAATACTATGTTCAAAACTGTTCGTTTCAGTATTTTTCTGTAGACTTTGAGTGGATCCCTGGAAGTCAATGGAGTTTTGTCATTGAGTCCAGGATAGCTAGTATTTTACTCTGAGTGGTTCTCTTTTTAAACTGACTTTGAAATGCCACTGCACATTTCATAATGTTCATTCATAAATTTCTACTTTGTGTGTTTAAACATAATGAAGTTATAACAGACTGTCATTATGTTACTATATTTTCCTTGGTTAAATATTTTAAGTTTTCCTTGTATAATTTAACATTATTTTATATGCAGTCCTTTCCCCCCTATAGTAAGGCATGCTATTAATATCCACATACTATATATTTTAACTATTAATAGAATGTGTATGTTAATAGTTTCACTTAAGGAGCTTTTATTTAGTCTCTTAATTATAAATTCCTGTTTTTGAAGATACATAGTTGATTAATATAAAGACCTGACAATCATTAGACACTTTTGCACACCAAATTTGCTGTTTTTCTCAACTGTTATGTTATACTGTAGTAAGTACCAATATGTTGCTTTCCTGTGACTTTTTTTTCCCAACAAAATTAAATTTTGCAGGTGAGTCTATGGTCTAAACTATTGGTTATTTGGAACAACAAAAGTAGATAGATAAATTGATGTTTAAAAAACTAAAACAACTTGAGTCATAAGTGTGTGATTCTCATAAGTGTGTGATTCTTCAGTGGTTAGTTTGTCAGTGCAATGTGTGCATTTTATTATCCCAATGGCATAAGCTAAGAGCTAAGGTGCCAACCTTCAAATATCATCAGGTTTGACACATGCTACTAAGTTTGGAGAAGCTGTTGGTTTATAATGGAAGATTAGTTACTATTGGAAGGCCCATTGGCATTAATACAAGTAAAATGTGCGTCTATCATTCTGAATATACAGTAAAACTTGAGCTATCTGGAACTTAAGAATCCAGAAAACTGTAGAAACCGGCAAATATCTGTCAAAAAAAAAAAAAAAAAAAAGGAACTGGACCTTTAAGTGCCGAGATGCTCCTCAGACGAGTGTGCAGTACATATCTGGGGGAGGGGCGAACGGCAGCCGGAGGAAAGCAGCAAGCGTCTTGGCTCCTCCTGTGGCTCCTGGCAGGCCAGCCCTCCCCCCCACAGCTCCCACCCCTCTCCTCCCAGCAGGCC